AAGGATTCTGTGATTTTAACTTGAAAAAATGCTGTGTATTGTATGCTGAAGTAGAAGCTGCATGGAGCTGCTCCCAGTCCCGCAGCAAACTCTCTTCCCTGCTCCACTCCTGCATGGTAAGTGCTGTATCCTTGGTCCTGCCAAGATAGCAGCTCAGTTATCCCCCTACCTTTCCCCTGGCAGTTTTTGGCCGGATCAGCTCCCAGGATGGGTGCAGCGTTTGCCTCCCTAAGCGGTAACAGCCACACTCACTCCCATGGCCACAGCCTCTGCAGTGTCCGCTCCGGGGGCGGCCTCCAAAGGCAGCAGGGCAGGGGCAAGGGGCACCCAGGGCAGCGAGGCGCTGGAGGGCTCTGCTGGAGCCTGGGTACGGCCAGTACAGCTTTTTTGACATCCATCCCCTCCCTCGGCTGCCCATGCGCTGTTGTACGTTGGTTGGTTGAAAATATCATACCTACACCCCCGCTCCCATGTCAGCGGGCTCCAACCGTTGCTTAGTCCCAAGGGCCTTCCCAGGAAGCGTCCTCACCCAAACCTCAACCCTTTCCTTGAGAAATCTGGGGGCAGGGTTATGTCTAGACCAAGCCTGGAGGGAACAGAAGGCAGCGCGGCGTACACAAGAAGCAGGCTGGGAGACAAAGCGACAGCGTTTCCTAGTCCAACCTAACCATGCCGCAAGAAGATGAGTCGCCCGGCCCTTCGCAAGGAGAGGCCGAGTCGTGGTCTGGGCGAAGGCGAACCACGAGGAGCTCTGCCAGCTCAGCCATGGCTCCGAGCCTGGCAGTGACAGGCCGCAGTCCCCTGCGTTGTTAAGACCCTACAGCAGTAAGAGCCCTGTATGTACCAGAAGAGGTGATGTGCTAAAATATGCTTGCTGGGCATCTTTGTGCCTCTCCCAAGTCCCGTGGAGGCCGCCGCTGCCTGTACCAGCAGCAGCCTAAAGATGGTGGTAGAAAATCAAGGATTGAATTTTGCATTTTTTGCTCTGAAAGGTTTTTACTCAGATTAGCCGGTTTTGTGCTGAAATACTACCTTTGACAGATCAATCGAAGTGAATAGATTAATCACCTTCTAGGTTTTTATATTTCCTCGTTTCCCACCAATTAACAAGACAGAAAAGTACCCAGCTGCGTTTAAAAGACGACGGCTTTACCAGTGGTGCAGTGGCAGCTGTGACGGTCTGGGGACAGAGTCAAGAGAGGGCTGCAGTAGAGTTAATATCTCTCATTATCAACCGAGGGAGGGTCATAAACAAACTTTGGGGCACGCTGACTTTATTTCAAATCTAATTTTTTGATTTCTTGTTTCCTTTATTACCGGGTATCTTCAGATATCCTTCTCCTCAGGCAGTAAAAGAAGAGGAAGAAATAACCCGCATCAAGAATCAAAAATAAAATGTTACGCGCTTGTATTCAGAACTGGCCACAGAGAAATTCTCAAAAGTATCATCTCCCCATCTTCTACTTCCCCTTTATGAAAATATTTGCTCTGCAGGGTTACAGAACTCCGTCAACAGGCAATTTTCTTCTGGAGAGAAATAGTTCTCTTTTGACGTCTAAAAAAAAATAATTTCTTTAAAGCTTAGTGGCATGATATTCATATATTTATAGATTAATACAACAGAAACAGGAAATTATGAACTTGATCACAGGCTTGCCTTTATTGAGTCTGATGAATGAATGATGGCAAGTTACTATTGTTATTGGAGATTTAAATTGATTTTTCCTCATTCCTAAACCTCTCTTACTTAGACACAACCTTGTCAGCTTACCGAAACGATCTCTTACAGCCTCTTTGAAATAGAAATCATTAATGTATTTTTTTTTAATTGATCCTGAGTGCTGACTAGAAAACTCATGTTTAAATGACCACTGACCCGTTGGATCAGATCAAGTTGGTGGCATGGTTCCCCATAGCTTCTGCAGCTGTCTTCTCTTCAGCCCAAAACACGAAACTGAAAATAGCAAACTCGTTAAGAGTTTTTCTTTGAAAAATGTCAGTAGGAATCAAAACAAGAACGAAGAACGTTAAGTTCTGATACATCACTTCATCCTGTATTCCGGGCTAATGTTTCTGCTGTAGGCTTTTTTTATTTCACATTGTTAACATTTTTTGTGTTTAGGTTTTTTTAAACTTTTGCGGGGAGTGGGAATACAGCACACACTGGAAAATACCCTAAATCATATGTGCTGGACAGCTGTCCACAGACTGATTCTAGCAGTACCCATGAGCAGCAGGGGTGCATGTTTGCGTTAATATTGTTTTGGAATTGCTCAGAAAACATAAGCCAAGGCTGAAGCCTGTGCTGACAAGGAGATTTATAGAGCAGAATACCAGGGCAGTTCTCAGCAGCGACAGCAAGGCCACACAGGAAGAAAAACAAAGACACAGGGACCTTCTGGGGAAGAAAAGCTAACGAGCGGACCTTTGCTCCTCTGCCTGGGGGGTAAGACAGTAAGGAGGGGGGCTGTTCTTTAAAAACACAGCTCTTAACCAAGGAAGTGGCCTGGTGGGAGCTAGCAGGACACTGCTTTGAGATGAGACCTGTCAATAGGAAGTTGAGGAGCAAAGAGCTGTAGTGAAGTCCTGGGACCGCTGAATCCCCCGTGACTCTCCTCATGGGCATGCGCATGCCTGATGAAACCTAATCACATGAATTTTTCCTGAAAGAAAAGCCCCCGTATGAACTGCCTGTTGTTCCCAGCACTTGGGCTTCTCCCTGGGCTCTAAAAATAGTGAGTGTTTGGCTGTATTCCTAAGCAATAAAAGCAAAATCTTTCCTGCTTGAGGGATGCCATTGGAGGAAGGACGATGGAGAATACTGCATCAGTCCTATAGGATGTACAGGATCTGCACACTACAAAGGAAGAAGATGAGGAAGCAAAGGGGTGCTGTGGTGCAGAGGTGTTGAGGTGGTGCTGTGGAGTGGTGGCCACCCCACCCTCCCTTAGGCAGGGTGGGGACAATAGGTGCAGCCCCAGGCTGGCCTCAAGTGCAGGAGGCACAGCCTCATGCCCTGACCTGTGTGACGCATTCGAACAGATGGGGATAGGTCTTTCCCCAGGATGAGACAAAGAGGAATTTTCAGGCAGCTCCAACAAGCTTAGCTTTGGTCTTGCTAAGCCAAACATATCCTTGCTATTTTCAACTCGCTGCCGTAGGAAGCGAATAAGGAATGAGGATCATGTTGGCAGGCTGTGAGGTGTGGAGAGGGTTCCCAAAACCAAGGGGACAGCTTGGAACTGCTGTAGCTCCTTTCGTATTCCAGTAACTGGCTTCCTTCCTCTGCCATCGGACAGGATCTGCCACCTGTCCCTGACCATCCCAGGGACAGGGCTGCTGGGAATTAGCCAGGCTGTGATCCAGAGAAGTTCCCAGGTGCCCCTTCTTGGGAAAGCACTTGCAAAGCAGGATGTGTGGCTGTGGGCACCACCTCTTGCTAATGGGAACGGGTGTGAAGAATGGCCGGGAGCCCAGCTTCCCTAAGCCATCGCAGCTTCGGCAGGGAGTTCTGCTGAGTGTCAGCAGTGAAGCAAACCTCCAGCTGTTGCTTGTCCTCGCTGCAGCGTTCAGATGCAGAGCTGACCCTCCTTCCTCTCCATGCAGGAAGGGGAGAATGGCCTGGAAAATATTCCAGCTCTCAGGCAACGCTTCACTTCTCATAGGCAAACATGCTCTTTACCTCGCTGCTATCTTAAGTAAATATTTCTCCAAGAACATTGTCAGCTCCCTAGTCTGATGACATTAATTGATTTCCGTTAAATCAGAGGACTGCTTGTGCTCCAGATAAAACGTTCTCTGCCGATTAGCCCCGCAAACCCCCGGCGTTACTAATGAAATCTACTGCGGGTCAGCTCAGTGCCTCTCCCAGCTGGTACGGCTTGGGTGGGCCACCTGGGTCTCGCAGTGAAGAGGGAGAGAAACAGCATAGGGAGTTCCTTGCTGGTTAATTAGTGTCTCCAAGTAAGAGACACAAGTGCAGAGTTTCAATTGGTGACGGAGAAATGGGAAAAGAGGGATGTCTGTCAGTACTTCGATCATACCCCAGAGCACTGGAAGGCTGTATCTTGACCGCCAATTCGAGATAAATATCACATCGCTGCCCTCTGCGTGCGGGGCTGTGTGGCCAACTTAGTGCCGGTCATACAGACGCAGGGTGCTGGCATTTATGTTTCTCAGGAAAAAAGGTGGTTTAGATGGAAAATGAAGGCCCGGGGTAGCAGCCTGTGTAACCAGCACAGCCTCTGCACAGGTCAGGAGAGCGCGCTCCAAAGCCAAGCTCCCCGCTTGTGTGAAAAGGGCACGCTGCAGGATTTGCACGTGTCCTGCTCAGCTCGCCGGGCTGTCATGGATCTTTTCCTGTTTCCATGACTCGCCGGCCCCTCCTCTGGCTCCGAGCATTTGAAGCTGAGCTCTTTGGCCAAACAGTCCTTGCTGAAATGTCAATACGCTACTGGGACGCCGGCTCGCAGGGTTCATCATGGTTTCCAGGCAGCCCGTGGCTCTGTTTCTCTGCCTTCCACTCCTGATTCCTCTCTCTCTGGATGCAGGTATGTCGTAATTATGTTTACTGGCAATAGGCTTCTCTCCTGTTACTCAGCCATAATTCTCATCGCAAGTTTTGAGCGCTGCTGCATGTTTGTCCTGCCTCTGGTTGTGCCTGTGAGTTTGTCTAAGGCTCGTTTGCTTTCAGTCATGGCATCCACACGCTTGTTTTGCCAGCTAAGGAAAAGCACCTCTAGACTGCTACATGGATTTGTTCTCTCCCAGTGGCTACACTGCCAGCTCTGCCCACTGGGTGTAAACAGGAGCTTGGGTTTATTGTTATTTCACATTGAACTGTGGTTTGTTTCAAAACGAAGACTCAATAGTCCGTCACGTGGTTGATGAGAAATCAAGGAGGTGAGGATCCACCCTGTTTCGGCAGTAGTAGAGGGCAGTGAGGTGGTGGCTCTTCGGTAGCTCCAGTCCGTGTCTGAAAATCAGCTCCCAGATAAAGCATCCCGGCTGCTTTCAGATTCTCAGTGAGCCACTGAGCAGGTCTCCCCCACGGCAGTGAACAAAGCTGGAAAAAATACGTAGCGAACCCTGAAGTGTTCCAGTGTAAACAAGTGGAGAACACCAAAATATGAGGATGAGGATGTCCCCAGCCATGCGCCCAGGCACGCTCCTCTGTCGGAGTCTGTGCCTGTGCCCTCATGCACGTGTCGTGTGTCTGCAGTGTCAGGGTAATTACACGCCTTTAAAGAAAGCCTAATACAGCCTGACTTAAAAATCACGGCAGAAAGATCCAGCTGGCATTCCTACGCTGGGCAGATGTTTATGTAGCACCCTGGGATAAATTCGACACACACCACACAATATTTTATTCCTTCATGTAACTTTGAAATACAGGCAAAATTACCACTATTTTTGCATGTCATTCAGCAAATATTCTGATGAGGCACCAATGTTTAGAGACAACTCACCGACTGGAATAAACCCTCTCAGGATTTATGTTTGTGTGTGCCAGTGGGGACACACGAGTCTTCTCCTCTGGCAACCACCTCAGGGCCCTTCCAGCAGGCGGGAGGTAACGCCTGCTTTCTCAGGGGTCGTGTAGTGGAGAATGTCCTGGGGAAAAAGCAGGCAATATACATCTGCCACGATCCCCAAATCTACCCGCAATCCCAGGTGACATAGTTACAACTTCTTGTCGCAAAGCACCAGAATCCCCTACTGACACGGAGGAGAAAAAAAAGTGCAAAATTAATTATTTCAAGACTTGTTCGGTGCAGCACACTCCAGCACCTCCGTATCTGTCTTGCCATGTTCTGTTAAGCTCTGGGCTCTGTAAAATTCATGGGCTGCCACTTCACCTGGGAGGCAGGCCAGAAAAAGGAGGCTCTTTCACATTTACCCATTTCTTTTCTAAAGCACCTCAGAAAAAGCCTGGGAAGCAAAAAAGCTTTCAGGGGAGCTGGTGCGGTCCCCACCCCATCCTCCCTGTCTGGAGAGCGTATGTGTGTGACAAACAGAACATGCCACTGTTTTTCAGTCTTTCTAAAGCAGGAAGAGGCAAACAGCGTTTTGCAGAGGCAACGACGAGCCAACAGCTTCTTCGAAGAGATAAAACTGGGGTCACTAGAGCGAGAATGCATGGAAGAAAAGTGTTCCTTCGAGGAAGCAAGAGAGATTTACCATGATGATGAAAGGACAGTAAGTAATGTGGGGCTGGGTGAGCGCTCCCTGTCAGATGGACTCCCCCTGCTCAAGGGTGTGCTTTGACACTTGAAACCACAAGAGCAAAAAAAGCACATTCTGTCCTGCTATTTGCACCTTTCCCATATATTTACAGAGGGACAAGCAGCAGGTGTGAGTTACAGGAGGGCATACCGCATGGGCCAGCCCAGGCAGCACAGATCCGAGGGACGGTGGGAAAGCGGATGCTAAGTCTTCCCAGCTGCCCAGTAATTCCTGGCCTGACAATACCTTAAATTGTGCAGCATCAGTTTCAGTCAGTCCCACCTCAACTGTACGGAGGTTATTGATGGATAACCTATTAGTGTGTGTTACACAGTGCCCTTCTCAACTGGCATATAAAAATAATGTAGGATGTAGGAACTAACATAGAAGATTTTATGGATATCAACTTTCATAAATAATAAAGGTAGAGGGGCTTCACTGAGGATGCCTGTAACCCCTCTTGTACTAAAAGGGCTGTAGGACCTAACCTGAGTTAATTTTTCTTTAATTATATCCTGCATCTTTTCCTTCCAGAAAGAGTTCTGGCACATCTATTCCGGTACGATCGTTCAGGATGTTCTAGCAGCTGCGAACGCTCTCCCGCTGCTGCAGCTCTTCGCGTGAGCCGGACTGACACTGAGTGTTTTTACAGACCCAAACCAGTGCGACTCCAACCCCTGTCAGAATGGCGGGAGTTGTGATGACCAGTTCCGGGATTACGTGTGCCGCTGCCCTGTCGAATATGAGGGCAAAAGCTGTGAAAAAGGTCAGCTCTGGCATAGCTCAACAAAATAGAAGTGTCATGATTCATTCAAATGCATTGAGATAAACAGTGGCCACGATTATCATTCTGCATCATTCTAGCAGGGACAGCTGCTGTGCACACTGCCTGTGGTGCCGTGTTGGATAAAACCAACACTGCAAAGCACCAGAATAATTATTACCCTACAATGACTTTGTAGAAAAAAGAAGAAAAAAATGCCTTTTTTTGCATGGTCTGAGAGAAAAGGAGGAATTTTTTTTCCTAGCCAAGTGCTGAGTTTGACTTAGAAGGTCGGTGCAGTAAGTGGTACTCCTCGTACAAAGCGCGAGGGGACTGACCCAGCAGTTAATGGAGTCAATAATGCCTTTCCACTGATTTCGGTGAATGCTGCATACTCACAGCTAGTTATACCCTCAGAACACGCTGAGCCCAAACAAGGACTAGGCACTCCTCAAGTCACAGGTTCACACAGATTCACAGGGTGGAAGGGGTTGGCAGGGACCTCTAGAGATCATCTAGTCCCACCCCCTGCCAGAGCAGGATCACCTAGAGTAGATCCCACAGGAACAAGTCCAGGCGGCTTGTGCAAGTTTCCAGAGAAGGAGACTCCGCCCCCTCCCTGGGCAGCCTGTTCCAGAGCTCTGTCACCCTCACAGGGAAGAATTGTTTCCTCATGTTCAGGCTGAACCTTCTGTTCCCCAGGTTATGGCCATTGTCCCTAGCCCTGTCACTGGACACCACTGAGAAGAGCCTGGCCCCATTCTCCTGACACCCACCCTTTAGTCTAACCAGGCAGTCCCAACAGTCATGCCAGAATAACTGTTGCCAAATGGCAAAACACAGAATAGTTACAACTTTTCAGTCACAATGGTTGCCACACCATTACGACACCTCCAGACAGCTCAGATACCCTATCAGTACAGACTGATTTAATTTTATGTGTCTGTTCCTTAGGCACAGACTTTTCCTCCCTAATCCCTGGAGATCTGGGTTCACCTCACTTTTGCCAAATAGAAGGTGCTTTTGATACAGTCACTGTACCTAAATCGCAGAAATCTGCTTTGCTGCCTTGCCTCCCTATCAACATTTCAAGCTGTAATTGACTCACGAAAAACACCAAAATCCACGTTTTGGAACCTAAATTCTCTTTCTCTGCCTTCAGCCACGGCTGAGAAACTGAAGTGCATTTATGACAACGGTGGCTGTGAACAGTACTGCACTGATGAGCAGTCTGAAAAACGAGCGTGCTTCTGCGCGGACGATTACGCTTTGGCGAGTGACGGTGTGTCCTGCATTCCCCAAGGTAAGATGCCACAAGCCTGACGCCAAGTCTAAGCCAGGTCTGGAAGAAAAGCTTTCCATACGTACCCAGCAGGAGGTGCGAGGTACAGCCCTTAGCCACCAGCTCCCCACCTCTTCTTCAAGGGCAGAGTCCAGCGCAGTAGGTTTGGGCTTCTGATGAAAGTCAGACACCCCAGAGAAGCAAAGGGGGAAGTGCGCACACTGAGCAGGGAACCTTTTGGACCTCTCCTTGGTCCGCTCCTCAGGGATGCAGGAAATCGGAGTTTGAACATCTCACCTGCTGGGACCAAGGAGGGAGCTGAACTCCTGTCTCCTCTGTATGGAGTGCTCTTGCCACTGGTCTCGTAGAGAAGAACTGAGCAGTGGAGACAAGCCCATGGCCAGGTGGTCTAAATAAAGCTCAGCAGCGGGTAGCCAGAGGTTTTGGAGTCAGGCTGAGGGGTTTCTGGTGAACGCAGTGGCTCTGGGCCTCACAAGTCCTTTCTTGTTTCAGCTGATGCTCGTGGTGGGAATATACTTCTGGGGCAGCATTCTTTTACTGTTGGATTTCCAATCTGAAACTGTGACTATGGTTTTATTAACATATTTATTTTAGCACAGGAGCCTAGAGAGGAAAAGGCCTATTAAAACCACAGAAAAGCAGTTATCCTTTGGGTTTTTTTTTTTTCCATTTCTTCCTATTTGGTAGGACCAATACACTATTGGTATTCCTCTAGACATTTCTGTCCCTCATCTGACAAGGTAAATTTCAACCGGTACTAGGGTAGCACAAGTTAATTATTTTTCCAATACATAAGCTGGCACCTGATTCTATTGCAGATGCCTCCTTCAATTACTTTATTAGAGGATAAAAAGAGACTCCTGGGGAGATGAACTTAATGGACAGAGCTGCAGGGAGCACGCGAAGTAATTCTGAGGGGTGATGACCCCCTACACACACCTCGGTGGAGCGCTCATGCAGAGAACTGATAATGACAACCTGGCTCTCAACTACAGCAATTTCTGGTCTAAAACCATGTCTAGCAATGTGCTTATCCCTTATTAGCAGATTCTGCAATATCACGTCACGGGGAAGCTGCTTTTGTTAAAAGGCAAGAACAACGAATTCGATATTCCTCACAGGCTTTTCAGTGTCTTCTCCCCGGAAGGAAGATACATTTGCTGCTGCTTGCTCCCTAGGGGGAAAAATACCCATAGCACTGACCGTGTGTTGCAAGGAGACAAAACTGTGGAACTGCCAAAGTGACAGTCCCTTCACTGTATTCCAGTTCTCTCTCACAATGTGCTTGCACCCTTTCACACACCCAAACTCCCATTGCCCTGCGTACAGCATTGGATGGGGTGGGTATGTCTTATGCCTATAGAATCTATATAATCTTTCACCAGCTGTTTCTGCATGCCTCGCCTGTTCCTGTAAGAGCTTGATGCTGTCTTTGCATCCGGTGAAGCAATCCGCACTTTCGGGCTATTGCAGATCCGTGGAGATGTCACATTCAAGGCAGCACAAACCAGAGGGCCCTGGCTCCCAAAGCAATGGAGAGTGAGCACTCCTCTGCAGTGTTCCCAGGGTCGCTGCTGGGTGGAAGGGTCGGCACGTTTGATTAAGGCACAGGACACAACCACTCCCAAAGATAGACCCTCTGTCGTGGTTTAACTCCAGC